GCAAATCCTGGGCCCAGAGAAAACCACAACAAATAGATAAACAAATAAATGTTAAAAAAAATAAAGTGGAACAAAATTATAGTGTTTTGCCCCACATGTGCCCCCCTTTCTTGCAACCACCCCTTTGTTCTTCAGCTCATATTTTTTCCCTGTCAACCTGCCGCGTCCTGTAGAACCCGCTGTTCGCGGTGCCAAGAACGAACAATACGAACGAGCTCTCCTGACTCCTCCACCCAGCCAGAAGCTCCATGAGGTCAGGGACTCGGTTTTCCTCCAGCACGTTTGAATGCAACTATTAAGTATCACATGCCTGTGGGGTGCATTATGTGCTCTTATCTTCTGGCAGCTTCTCTGGAGTGTTGTGAGCAGGCCTTTTAATTGATTAGTACTTACCCTGTTGCCAGCCAGCCAGGCCCTCAGCCTTGCCCTGAAGGGTCAGGAGAGGCGCTGACCGCAGGGCACTGTGCTTTCTCAGGCTGGCTTTTAGCAGGCAGGTGTTTGAGCCGCTGTACCGTGTATCTTAAAGATAGTAGCGCGTGCTTGGATTTCCTGATCCAGTCAGCAACCCCGGGTGAGATCGATCAGCCTGATGTCAAGGTTTAAGTACACTCGAGCCAGGGAGCAGGAAATCCTGGGAGCTCTAGCCTCCATTACTGGGCCAGGTTCCCTGGAGAAGTACAGCACAGCATTCTCAGCCTGCATTCTCACTCGGGGTCTTCAGGGTAGATGAAAATGGAATTCATTAGAAGGAAAATTCGACTGTGTGTGTTGAGGCGCATCATCCTGGTCTGGCAGGGTCGGCACCTTCCTCTCAGTGGCTGTGAAGCGGGGGCTCTGGTGTTGGGTTTGGCAGCTGGGAGGAGACCATCTGATTTTGGAGACTCCTAGTTCTCGAAGCTGGCCCATTTAGGTAAATCTCTGTCTGAGTCAATGAAGATGTAGTCACTACCTTGTTTCTGGCTGGGAAGTGCTCAGGCGCCCTGGGCTCCTTGCAGTTCTCACGCCTGCTCTGGAGGCGGGGAACTTCAACTTCTCTCCTCTGTCGCAGTATACTGTTGAATTCTAAGGGATTTCTCTTTAGGTAGTCATTTCTATTTTTTTTAAGCTCTTTTTGTAACATGGGCTTTGGGAAGCTGGAGCTGTTGCCAGGAGTGAGCAGTCTTTTGCCTTTCACTTTTCTCTTTGTACAGCTACTGTTGGTCCCCAGAGGGAGGAGCAGGCTTAGCTGTCAGCAGGGGGTGTTGGCACACATGGGCAGGGGAGGGCAGGGGGGACACTCATTCAGGTGGAAGTGGGCCGCGGTGTTTGCTGGCAATGGGAAGTTTTGGCTGGGGTGGGCTTGCCCCAGGCCAGATAGTGGGCTGTAACCACCATGGCTGGGATTTGAACCACCCAGTCTTCCCTGTGGATCTGGCTTCCCTAACCACCAGGCTTTGAAGAATCAGCTGGTAAACAAAACCCTGCAAACTAACTTGGTGAGCTGCTCAGAAAATGTAAAATGTTGCAAATATAGATTAGGGGTTTGAGTAGCTGAATGAATTATATAGGTCCATTTCTTTTTTCTTAGAGATTTTTGATATAGGGCGTGTTCGCTTGTGGGAGAGACAGCGAGAAGCAGAGACGAAGCGAGAAATTACCCCAGAGGACTGCCACGCTGCAGTCCCTTCTCAACCACACCACAATCCCCTCTCCTTTATTCTCTCAGGATTTTGGGCACATACCCACATGTACCCAGTGTAAGTTTTAAGCTGCCGGGTCTAGGCCTGGAACCAGGGTCGACTACATGGAAATCCATCTACGTAACCATTACACCATCTGCTAGTCCCCTTATAAATCCGTTTTAAAATTTTTTCCAGAGGGCCTGTGTGCTCACCAGAGGAGAGAGCAGAGCGTAGGGGGAATGTTCACACCAAAATCCTGTCTCCCTTTCTCCTTCCTCTGGGGATTGTGGGCATACAGGACGTGTGCCTGGTGTGTTTGTCAAGCGCTGCTGAGTCTGAGACAAACTGGAGTTGGCTGTGTGGGTTCCAGCTGCCCCAACCAGCAGGCCACGGAGCCACCCCAGAGAGCTCCATTGCATGAGTGGACACAGACAGACTGAAGACTTCTTGTTTATTCTTTTCTACTCAGTTTATGAGGGCCTGAGAATTAAAATGACAGAAGGTGCATTACAGGAGAAGAGGCACGGGGACTTCACTGACATCGATATTTTTGTGTGCATAGGCTGGGGGCAGGGAAGGGCTTCACAGGGAAGTGCAAAACCCGAAGCTGTGACACCTGTGGAGCCACGTGAGAGGACTTGAAAAGTTCATGGAGGGACTAGCAGTTGGTGCAATGGTTATGTCTATGGACTCCCATGTAGTCGACTGCGGCTCACGTCCCAGACCTGGTGGCTTAAAACTCACGCCAGGTGCGTGTGCGTGCGTGCGTGCGTGTGTGCATGCGTGCCCAAGATCCCAAGAGGAGAATGGAGGAGAAGGGATTGCGGCATGGCCATCCCCCCTGGGGGGTGATTTCTCGCTTTCTGTCTCTCTGTCTCTTCTGTCTGGCGAGCGCATGTGCCCTATAGCAAAAAAAAAAAAAAAAAATCTTCGAAAAAAAGAAGAAGAAAAGTTCATGGAAAAAGTGGAATTAAAGTATGGATTTGTTTGTGGGACCCGCAGAGGATGTTTGCTGGGCTCCCACATGGTCAACTGCGGTACGAATCGCACAGCTTAATACCCACGCCGGGTACATGCACATGCACACCCCAGATCCCAAGAGGAGAATGATGAGAAGGGATTGCAGTGTGGCCATCTCCCCTGGGGGTGAATCCTTGCTTTCTGTCTCTCTCTCTCTCTGTCAAGCGCAGGCACCTTATAGCAAAAATCAGTCTCTCTCTCAAAAAAAGTATAGGTTTGTTTTAGTGCAAAATAAAAATGTTGAAATCTATGGCTAGGGTATTTTAATAATATGTATTTTCTTTTATTTTTTTTTTTTGAAGACTACCTGCTATGACATTTTAATAAAAGGGTGATTAATTGTGAAGTGACTAGACAAGGGGAAGGGGGTTTGGGCACGTAAGGGGTTAATAATTGTGAGAAGATGACTGCAAGATATATGGGGGAAGGGCCAGCAGGTATGCTGGGTCCCACATGGCCTTCTATGTGGTTTGAGTCCTGGACTTGGTGGATTGAAAATCACGCTTGGCGTGTGTGCATGTGTGCCTTGAACCTCAAGAGAATGGAGGCAAAGGGATTGCCCAAGGCCACCCCCTGGGGTGAGGGGCGAATTCTTACTTTCCCTCTCTGTCTTTGTCTCTCTCCTGTGGGTGCACACCCACCGCCCTATGGCAAAAACCTAAAAGGACAAAAATGTGTGGGGAAACTAATAGTTGTTTATGGCCAAGAGTCCTTCGTTGTGGGGGGCACATGTACAAATAGAAATTACGGCCATGCTTTTTGTCAGACGGGGAGTCAGAGAGTTCCTCCCGGGTCTGCGCTTTCCCCGCTGCCTTCAGGTCAGAAACACCCCTTAGCCAGAGCGGCACAGGCACATTTTGATCCCGTGTGGCGCGATGCGTTTTCCGCGATGCGTTTTCCGCGATGCGTTTTCCGCGATGCGTTTTCCGCGATGCGTTTTCCGCGATGCGTTTTCCGCGGGCGATGCGTTGTCCGCGATGCGTTTTCCGCGATGCGTTTTCCGCGATGCGTTTTCCGCCGTTTCCACTGCTCCTTTACAGGTCCCTTTAGAGTGGAGCTTTGGGTTTTTAAATTACTGTCTTGTTTTAGCACAGTGGTTCTCCACGTCTCCCCCACACTATTCCTGTGTGCCACACGTTCATTGGAAACACACCGCACTACCCATGTTGTGATTCCCAGTGAGTAGGCGGTGGGGATGTGCTTTTTTCTGAGGGCTGGGTGGGTAGGTGACGGCTCCCATGCTTTTCCCTGCCTTGAAAAAGCCCTCCTTCCTCTCGGGAATCACTGGCCTGGCAGTATGGCGAGGGACCTACGGATGTCAGGGTGATCATTTTAGTTTGGAAAAGCTTTTCAGGTATGTTTAAAGAGCTGCTCCGTGTGACTTCGAGCAGCGAAATCCTCTGCAGTAGTTGAGTGCCTGGCCATTCAGTCTAGGGCCCCTGCCCCTCTTCCTAAATGCAGTCTTTCTCTCCTTACTAAAGGGCCTCTCACCTCCAGCCACCTGGGAGGAGGTGGCCAGGTGGGCTGGGCATTTGTCCAGAGCGATCTTAGTTTGGCTGCATTTGGCTGTGCTCCTCCTGAGAGGAGGCGGTGAAGTAGATCTGGAATAGCTCCTGCAGGCCCACAGTGTGACCTTGGGGAAGTCACCACTTAACCTCTCTTCTTCCTAATGAGTGAAGGGAGGGGCCAGAGCAGAATCACATGATGCCCGTGGTCCCTGCCTGTTCCGGCTGCGAACTGCTGGGCTTTGGAGAGGGCTAGAAGAGACATTTGCATCTCCATCACCCCAGTCGGCTTGTTTCCAGAACTCCAGTTTATTTGTTTTTTAGGATTATATTAGCACAATTTGCCAGGAAGCATCATCATGGCCCGTGCAGTGTAAATATTCACATGTTCAGGCGCAGCCCCCCCCACCCCTGCACGCACGCACTCAGTGTGAATCTGCCTGTGGTGAAGAGGCAGAGTGTTCATTGCCCGGCATTTTTTTCTGCAGTGCTTGCCACCCGTCAGCCAGAGACTCCTGGAGTAGTTGTAGTAATAATGTCACAGGAATCTGGAGAGAAGCCTTGCACCTTTGGGAGACCTGCGGATACGTGACATCTTCTCCCTCCCCCGCCGACCCCCCCACGCCCTTAAACCTGTTCCGTTAATGATTGCACCTAATTGTATATCTTGGGTCTTTTTACTGTTGACAATTCAAATGCTACTTAAAGCCGCTTGTTTGCTTTTGTTTGCTGTAAATCTGGGCTGCCATCTGAAGCACAACTTGATGATCGTGTATTATCATCCCGGGTTAAGTGCTGTCTCATTGCTTTGCAGGCTGCCTGCTGTTTCCCGGGGAGATCATGAAACGAGGTCGCCTTCCCAGCAGCAGTGAGGATTCTGACGACAATGGCAGTAAGTCCTGCTTTGTTGTTCTTGGGGCCTACCAGGGTTTGGGTCAGTGTGAAAACATGATTTTTTAATGTAACGCTTTCAGTCGCCGAGGCCCTTAGCATATCACGCAGGTCAGAGGATGCTTAGGCCTGGAGAAACAGATGTGCGTGTGATGCTGCTGCAGGTCTGGTCTGTGACATCTCTCCGGGTGGGGTGGCTGCGGGCAGGCATTCCGCTTCCCAACGTCTGTTATCCAGGGATAAGTAATCTGGTTCCAAGAGTCACTGGTACGTCTCTTTCTCCTAAATGTCATTTGTGGTACTTCACAGTTGCTCTTTATGAAGAGAGAACTTAAAGCCAGGTAGTTTTTAGCTAGTTCACCTCGCCAAGAGGAGACATTGAGGATGGCCTCACATGATATGAAAATGCTAACTATAGGGCCAGTGGGTGGCGTGGAGGTGAAGGCAAGTGCATCCCACATGGCTGCCTGTGTGGTTTGAGTCCCAGACCCAGCAGCTTGAAATTCACACCAGGGGTGTGTTGGTGTGCCAAAAATTTCAAGGGGGGAATGGAAGAAATGGGATTGCTGCAAGGCCATTCTCTCTGGGGAGTGCTGTCTCATTTTCCATCTCTCTCTCTCTGTGTGTCTCCAGTGAGCATAGGCACCCTATGGCAAACTTGAAGAAAAGCTCCGTACAGGTGCACAGTAGGCAGGAGTTTGTGCTCTTGACTGTTTTCTATTCCTGATCAGCCCTCTGGCAATCTCATTTTCACAGTGTAGCTGAGAATCGGAAGTTAACTGGCTTCCAGGAGTCAGAATAAATGTCACACAGTGTCAGTGTGTTGAAGCTAACAGACTACTCAGAACAGCCCCTCTCAGAGACCAGAAGGCAGTTTTGTACCTAGCACAGTGCCTGAGCTGTAACCCATTCATTTCTGTCCTACCTCACAAATGAAGCTTGGGAAACCCTGAAAAAATGGGGCTGGGCATAGGATGGGAAAGGAGCTAGACCTGCTTTCTAGGAACTGGACCTTACTGGCATGCTAATGCACCTCTGAGAGGAAGCTCAGGAAGCTCTCAGAGCAGCAGCAGAGATGTCGTGATGCACAGGGCAGACGCGTGCACCTTCAGGGAAGGGGAGGCCAGGGAAACCCGTGGAAGAGGCAGAGGTTGGCTAGGTCCTGAGAATGAAGTGTTTTCTAGGCAAATAGGCTTGTTGCTGATTTCTTGGTATCTTCAAAAATTTCAAATGGTAATTATTATTTTTAATTTGCCGGAGGGTATGTGTGCTTGCGGGAGAGAGAAAGCACCCCCTGAAGAAGACGGTCATGTCATAATCCCTTCTCTCTTTCTCTTTGGGATTTGGTCGTGCACAAGTACCCGATGCATTTTTCAAACCACACAGTGTGCCTATGGGGTCCAGCTGCCTTAACCATCACCACGGGCTGGCCCTCACGGTTTTAGATGGAAAGCTACAAGCTAGAAAATAAGTCTTTGCTGCTGTGGTGGGCTGCGCTGACAGGCATGGGGAACATAGGGGGATGAGGAAGGGGGGAAAACAGCCCGGTAATATTCACGAGTGCGGCATTGTGGTTGGTGCTTGGGGTGCAGGTTTGGAGCCATGGGAAGTAGAGTTGGTGGTTATGAGAGGTGTGGGGAGTTTAGGGGGATGTGTGAAGAAAAACTGTGTCCGCAAGAACCAAAAGGGCTTGGAACTTTGGGGACAGGGAGAAGGGAGCTAGGGGACAATGGAGTGGGGACTCCAGAGAAGGACTTTCTCAGACTTCAGAGAGAGAGAGGGTCTGTGCCCAAGTGCCTCCTGACTGAGCCTGGGGCAGGCCACTGTCTGAACTTCCCAGGCCCTTGTCATCTCAGCCTTTCCTTCCTGTTTTCTCGAATGTTTACAGTTCTGGGCATTTTACTCCCAGGGCAAAAACATGCTTTGGTATTTCTTCTCTGCCCCCTGTGGTGGCGATCAAAGTGTCCTCTTGAGCTACAAGTACTCAATAAATGCTTGCTGCTTGCTTGAGTACACAGTTTTGTCCTGCAGCAGTTGCAAAAAAAAAAAAAGTCTTTTTTAGGTTCAGAATTGATGGGAGGGTTTTATGAATTAGCCGCCACCTCCTCATGGTGCTCGTGAAAGGCTAAGAGTCTTGAATGGTTTGGTGTGCAGAGGCAGGTTGGCGCTCACTGGCTGTTCTCTCCACTAGGTTTCCTCCTTGGGAGAGCTGGGTTAGAAAAGGCTCTCTGGGAATGTTATTTTAATCTTGAGAGCTTTCCTGTTTCTAGGCCAGCGCTGTCTAATGGGATGGAAATGTCCTATCTAGCCAAGGAAGTGAATTTCTAAATTTTACTTCATTTTAATTAATCAAGTGTGTGACTCGTGGCTACCATATTGGACAGTGGACCCTGGCTAGTATAATCCCTCAGCTGTCCAGAGGCTCCTAGGAGCCTAGGCCCCTGTATTTCTGGTTGCCTTAAGAACGTTCCACATCTAGACTGACTGACTTGGCCGACAGAGGCTTGCAGGTGGCCACATTTCCCCTGCACCCGCTTCATTTCTTCCAGTTTTGGAGGCTGGAATACCGAGAAGGAGGTGTCGGCAGGTTTGGTTTCTTTCCAGGCTTCTCTTGGCTTGCAGGTGGCCACGTTTCCCCTGTGCCCGCTCATGGCCTTTCCTCTGCACAGGCATCCCAAGGGTCTCCCTAGTATGACCTTATTTCCTTTTAGGACATCACCCCGATTGTAGTAGTGTCCACCCTCACAGCCTCATGGAAGGCCTCTTCTCTAAATACAGTCACATTCTTGAGGTAACTGGAGGTGGGGGTTCAGGATATAGATTTAGGGGATGGAGGACACAATTGAGCCCGTAACAGCCCTAGCAGACCAAATGCTGCATCTATAATTGTATTTCTACCTAGACTCTGGTTAGAGAGGCAGGCCCAGATGGAAGAGTGTCCTAAGTCCTACCCAAAAAAGCATATGCCCATCGGAAGTCACCTCCTCCGTGATGGCCCTCTTCTCCTTCCTGATAGGTTCATTCCTGTGCCGGCCTCACTGAAGAAGCTGGGGTGGGCGTTAAGGTAAATATTGATGAGCGTCTGCCGGGTTAACTAACACGGACTGAGCTCAAGGTAGTGGTGAGGGAGAGCAGTGACAGCTGCTGGTGGAAAGTAGGCCCAGGCCATCCTGGGTCACACAGCTCGTTCAGTAGAAACCATGTGCTGACGCGTTATGACTGCTGTCTGTCCAGGCTCAGTGACACGATCTATGGTGGATGAGGACAGTGGTAAACAAACGGTGTTCATTAACAATCTCTGGAGGGCCAGCCAGGTGGCATGGTGGTTAAAGCAGCTGGATCTCACATGGCTGACTCCGTGGTTCAAGTCCTGACCCCACAGCTTGGAAGTCACTCCAGGTGCACGTGCGTGCCCAAAGTCCCGACAGAAGAATGGGGAAAGGATTGCAGTATGTCCATCCCGGGGGCGGGGGGAGGGTGATTTCTGTCTCTCTGGTGTGCACCTACACCGTATAGCAAAACAAAACAAAAAGCTTAAAAATAAGAACCTCTGAAATGCCGAACCTCATAGAAATATGTACACATTCACCCCCTTCCATGCTCTGAGGGCAGCTGGCCTTCGCAGTGGCCACCAACCCACTTACATGCCCAGGAGCCGGTCTTTGGATACCTCCGTGGTCTGGTGCGCCTCCTGCAGCATGCTCCCTACCTGTGGTAGCTCCCTGTGACTGCCTTCCTCAGCCAGGCCCAGGCATTTGCAAAGTCCTGCTTGCAAGAAGGTCTGGTCTGTGCAGGGTCCACTTTTCAGCCTCTCCAGCCTGCAGGCTTGACAGAATTTTGGCGGCAGTTCCCAGCCCGGTGCAGAGCATGTCCAAGTGAAGGAGAGGCAGCTGCAGGCGTCAGGATGGGGCCACGACACCAGCCTCAGCCATGGCCGGGCCCCGCCTGGTGGTTAAAGCAGCTGGATCTCACATGGCTGACTCCGTGGTTCAAGTCCTGACCCCACAGCTTGGAAGTCACTCCAGGTGCACGTGCGTGCCCAAAGTCCCGACAGAAGAATGGGGAAAGGATTGCAGTATGTCCATCCCGGGGGCGGGGGGAGGGTGATTTCTGTCTCTCTGGTGTGCACCTACACCGTATAGCAAAACAAAACAAAAAGCTTAAAAATAAGAACCTCTGAAATGCCGAACCTCATAGAAATATGTACACATTCACCCCCTTCCATGCTCTGAGGGCAGCTGGCCTTCGCAGTGGCCACCAACCCACTTACATGCCCAGGAGCCGGTCTTTGGATACCTCCGTGGTCTGGTGCGCCTCCTGCAGCATGCTCCCTACCTGTGGTAGCTCCCTGTGACTGCCTTCCTCAGCCAGGCCCAGGCATTTGCAAAGTCCTGCTTGCAAGAAGGTCTGGTCTGTGCAGGGTCCACTTTTCAGCCTCTCCAGCCTGCAGGCTTGACAGAATTTTGGCGGCAGTTCCCAGCCCGGTGCAGAGCATGTCCAAGTGAAGGAGAGGCAGCTGCAGGCGTCAGGATGGGGCCACGACACCAGCCTCAGCCATGGCCGGGCCCTGCTGGCCTCCGGCTCTGGAGCCCTTTGCGTTGTTTTCTGGCCTGGACCAGGGGAATACCAGTGTGGCATTTACAGCTGGGGACGGGTGGGCATTTTCGGTGCCAGGCGTGAGCCCTCGTCCAGCCACAGTCCTACTTGTTGGAGCCTTTCTCGAGGCGCCCTGGAGGCCTGGCCCTGCAGTTGGACAGGGCAGCGTCTGTAATTGCTAGGCTCCTGGGACTGGGTGGCCCAGCCAATCTGCAGTTACACCCTGGGCCAGGGTGTGGCCCTGGGAAACAAGCCCTTCATTTCCTGCTCCCAGCCCAGGATCCCCTGCCCCTTAGGGTTTTTGGCAACTTAGGGAATGGGGTATACTAACTATTTTTCAAAAATTAAAATGAGTAATAAGATGAAATAAGATTTTACTTTATCTTCAGTAAAGCTGCAGAGACT